ACACACACACACACACACACACACACACACACCCCTTTGTACACACAAACCTTTATGCACACAAAATTCAATCGTTATCCTTGGAAGAAGCCACCTGAAAGGGATAATGTCTACAATAATAATTCCTAAGGTCATGAATAGCAATAGTTAGAGAAAGAAGCAGCTTCCAGTCTAAAACTAAAAAAAAATAAAAAGTAAAAGAGTGATAGAAGTTAAACCAAGAAAAAAAAAAGAAGACTGATTAGAAATATAAGCCTGGCCACTAAGTTTATCCTATGGGATGGCATTCAATGAAGAAAGGACACCTGAATTTAATAGCTTTGGCTCACATGATCTAAGAGTTTTTCCATAATCACTTTTCTTTGATCCTCCTGTTTGACAGTGACATCTAACTAAAGTCATCCCTTTTAACCTTTTCTTTTGCATGTTGTGTGAACTCGTGAGCAGAGTAAGAAACAGGACGTACCTCGGGAAGATCAGGGACCAACTACCAAGAATTTGGATTTTTGGCCTCAACTTATTACACTGATGGTCACTATTATTGATGAGGACAAAACTGCCTACACACCTGTCCTGAATCAGTAAGTATACTGTTTTGGAAATGAATGGATTTTATTCCACTAAACTTAAAAAAATATTTTAAGCATAGTTTATCCTCCGATGACAATGACAAACGTTTCCAAAATTAAGCTGTAGAAAACAGAATATTTTCCTACTTTTATCAGTACATATCACTTCAGTGATACTATGATTTACTAGTTTGAGCCCCATAGAGTATGATTCTTTAGATATGGAGTCAAATATTTCCCAAGATTTGATTTTTCTGTGATGTAAAAATTCCCTCTTTCCTTTGATTCCATTATTTCAAAAGATTAAGCGTGCACTCCCCCCAAAACCAAAAAGAATGTTGAAGAGCTAATGTTAAACATATTCTATTATGGCTTTTTAATAATAAAGATTTATCAAAAAATCTTCTTTTAAAATAGTTGTGCATATTGATTTAACAAATTTAATGCAACATTTAATAGAACAAGTCCATTTTCACAAATTGCAACCTAAAGTTTATACCTCTAAAACAAGGTAGATGTATTAAAATTCATGACTGTTCTAGAAGAATCTGTAAAATCATCATTTTATCAAAATCTCATTAGCTATGAGACTATGGGCAAATTATCTAATTTCTCTGCATCTCAGTTTCCTCTTATGTAAAATAAAGACATATTGCTAGTTAATTTCCAAGATCCAATTCAAATTTAATGTTGCACATTTAAGGTTTTATTTCACACCTACATGTTGAAGGCCATACAAGCAAAGTAACAGCAGACGGCCAACCAGGCACTCACAATCTGGTGAACAAGGAGGGTATCTTCACATGTTGGTAAGATCTAAAATGATGTGGGCAGCAAGGATAGCAGAAATAGACAACCCATGATGTAGAACAATGAAGTCGATTCAGACTCTCTATGGAGAACTGGTTTTATTCCTATTTTCTCTACTGGTCCAGACAGGGTCAAAGTTTATGTTGAGTCCAATTAAAATTCCAATAACAGAAGATTTCAGTTTGAGTATTTCAGTTTTCCCCCTTTCCTGCCTCTTTACCAGCCATTTTACCTGCCCCCAATTTCTCCTAATTGTGGAGAACATGGTCCTATTTTTGATATGCAACCATCATAGCATCTTTTGCCTTTTCACTTTCTTCTCCCTTCTTCCCAAACCTAATCCTATACACACCTCCCTTTCTTCCTGATGGCCTTAGTGTCTCCTGATCACCATCCCTGTGCAGACTTTGCTCTTTTACTCTCTTCTGCTAGGACTAGGAGATCTTCCCTCTTAACCCACGACATGTCTTCATCTCATCATGGACCCTAGGAAGTCCTTCTAAGGTCTCTGACAGCTTTGTGGAATAGATTTGTTTTCCCATTCACTGTTTGGATATTTCTTGAGAACAGAGTATGTTTCCTGAAGATTGGGAGACCAACAGCTCTTTCCTAGACTGTGTCCTTGGGCTGGGATAGGCCATTTGATAAAAGATTATTGAATGAAAACAAACAT